TTTTGATATATTTACGGTAGGAAATTTACAAAATATCTTCATGGAACATGATCTTTACTTAATATCCTAATGATTTTTGGCATAAAAGAAAAATCGATAATTTTGACCCATACAATGTATTGTTGGCTATTGCTACAATTACACCCGTGCTACTTAAGACTGGTTTTGTGCTCCAGGGTCACATATTGTTTTCATTTGTCACATGTCTTCTAGCAACAATTAGGAACAACTTAAAAGTCACCAGATCATGTATGATGCCTAGTGTTTTCAAATCTGTTCCGATTTTAAAAGATGCGTCATGTATTCCAGATTTTAGAAGGCAGGATAATAATGCAACCTACCTTTCGAAACACACTTGGTGTTGGTGTACACCTAAAAAGCTTCCTATGTAGACAGCTTACCAGTTTTTTCGAACCGAGCCATAATTTCAGTTTTAGCTCTAAACAGGTTAAACGTTGGAGCAGACAAAATCATTAGTACCAGACACATTGAGTTTAACGCTGTTCTTGGATTTCTTTTTGGTCAGCTTGGCGCTCGACTTCAGGTACTTCTCTTTGTTGTGAATGACTTGGATGTATTGGTCAGTGCTGCTGTTTTGTTGGTCACTACTGGACGCCAGCGATGCCGAATCCGACTCGGTCAGCGACGGCTCCACTTTATGCTTGGTCTTGTGCTTGATGTATGGTTCGCCATACCTGTGAGCCGACTCTGGGCCTCGGATGTTTGTTTGAGGGTCGTTTCCCCAGTCATCTTCTTGATCGTCCTCTTCTTCATCGCCGTATAAACCCTGCTCCATAGACAACTGACTGTTTATTGTATCGCCAATGTAGAATCCCGCGGTCTGATGGAGATCTGACAGTGGTCGTGGACGTTTCGACTGTCTGAACGACCCCCTCCTCGTGCTGCTCTTCGGATCTTCCTCCTCCTCTTCCTCACTGAGGTGTGGCTGGTGGCTTCGGTGAGGAGTACGAGGAATGTAGCACTTCACGTTGCGTGGATAAAGCTCTACGATCTCTGTCGGTTCGTCCGCGAGGCGGTAATGTCTCGGTATGCGTGTATTTGAGCGCATTAGCTTCTTGCGAGCTTCGTGTTCGTTGACGATGACGTAGCGTGTCGTATGTGCCCGGCGGCCCGCGTAGCTCTGAGCCGTGATTACGCCGGGCTCGGTGCGCATAGGACAGAGGGTCTTCCGAAACGGCGGATCGGAGTGGATGTTTTCGGCATACCGTGCACACGGGTTGTAGGCCATGTTGTGGTAGGACTTGGAGCTGCAGGAACCATTGGTGCTGCCCAAGTACCCAGAATGCCTGGATATCAGAGAATGCAACATGTGAAATGAATATGTATGCTTGCTCATATTCACCCTACCTTCTATAAACTCAAGCAACAGACATTTACCTTTATGGTGCAGCTTGTAATTAATGTTAAAGGGGTCATATGATGCAATTTCAAGTTTTTCTTTCTCTTTGGAGTGTTACAAGCTGTTCGTGCATAGATAAGATCAAAGACTAAAGTCTCAAACCCAAAGAGATATTCTTTATAAAAGTTAAGATACGTCCACGCCCTCCTAAAACGCCTCGTTTCAACACGCCCCCACATGTCTAAGTCACTGTGTGGGAAGATTTGCATAACACCGCCCAAATGTTCACACAAAGAAAGAAGGCGTAACTTTGATTCTCACTGTAGTACTGTTGCTGCCGCCACCATGTCGTGGAGACGCTGTGTGTTTCGTTGTGAAAGTGAAACTACTTTGTTTGGCCTTCCAAAAGAGGACACAACTAGAAATCAGTGGTTAAGTTGTATTTACAACACTGTTCCAGAACAGTTCAAACCAAATATACAGATGTGTGGAGCGCATTTTATGGAGGACTGTTTCCTGAACCTGGGAGAGTAGACTACAATGCTATGGCATTATTTTAATGACGAATGTCGAGAGCGCATTATTGTAGCGCGAAAGCACATTAATATATTAATCGCAAATCTCTGTGCTCATGCGCTAGATATTAATTCTTTTCGCACCTGAATTAAACATTGTCAAAAGTTATCATTGTGCACTTTTAAAAAGTATCTCAAAGCAGATTTGTTCACTAAAGGCCTTTCCTTGTTTTTTTTTATTGTTGTATTTTTGTTTTAACATGGTTATTGCACTAATGAAAATACTATGTGAAATCTAATTGGCTGAGAGGGCACTGAACCTGGAATTTTTTTGACAATCAAAGATGGATATTTAATTTATTTCCAGTTTAATAATATTTAGCAATGTTAATGAAATGTGGCCTATATTAGAAATGGCTAGGAATTGGGTGCTTGGATGATTTGT